AGCAAAGCGAACCATCCCCCCACCTCCCAAAAAATAGACTGATAAATACTAAACCCCAAAGCTAGCAGAAAATAAAAAAATATGGATAAACGTGAAATAAAAAAATTAAAAATCAATACATTAAAAAAAATGTATTACACATACAATGTATGCCAGAATATGATGTGTCTGACAGTGAAAATCATACTGTTCTGTAACATCACATACAGCCCAAAGGCATTTTCCAAGCATGTAACTTAAAGGACTGGTGCTTTTTTTGTCACCCTCGAAGCCCTTTTCCTGCTATATGGTATTTTTAAAAATAATTATTATTCATTTGTTAAATGTTCCCTATGGCATTGCCCAGCCCACCATAACTTTTTTTGACAACAGCTTGCCATGAATTAGTATCTAGAGATTTTAACCCCCCTCCTGTAGACTTCAATGGGGTTGAAGTTGAGGTTCATGAATTACAGAATTCAATATACTCCCCGTCAACCAAACCCAGGCAGATTTGCTCATGCCTACATTCTGTTATTTATTTGTTAACACCAGGAAATCACACAAATTGTTTTTCAGATTAAAAATGATATAATCTGCTACTGTTACCCAACAGCACATACAGTATTACTTTTGATGCTTGGCTTAAGTTTTGAAGATAAATTATCTGACCTGTTCAGGATCCTTGAGCCATACATGGTGTTTAAAGGAAAGGTTTGAATTTGTGAACCCAACAAATTTATTTAGTACATCAGTACTAAGCAGAGATTCCATTAAGAAAAAGCATATTAGTGTATTACAGGCAATAAAGAGAAAAAAAGGAGAGCAGAACTCCAGATACATAATTTAAACATATGTATGAGTTGTTTAACTGTTATGTATTTATAATTCTTTTTAGTTGTTTGTGCTTCACACATTCTGTAGCTGGGACAGTGACCCCACTATTCACTACTGTAGCTTCCTGTGTCACATATCTGATTAGTGGACTATGACAAAACTGCTGGATATCTTTCCTATGCTCTCATCTTCCTTTCCGCCTAAACCCCTCCAACTTTCCATGCCTGAAACATGTTAGGATGGCATCACTATGCAAAGCAACAGAGCCTGACTTGCACAAAAGACATGACTTCTCACTCAGATTTCTATGCATGGAAGCATAAACAAAAATTGAATTATAGATCTCTAGTTAGTGTTTTGCAAACTGCATTTTAAAATTTATGTAACTAACTTTTAACAAATACATACCTGGTCTAAAAAGTATTATTTCATATTTTACTGGAGGACTGCTTTAAAAGGTGAAATTAGAATCATGATAATGATAAAAAAAAGTGTACTTACTTCACTATCAATAAACACACAGGGTAGCTTGCTAAGCATTCTGGCCAAAGAATCTTTTTCTGCATCTCTAAAACCAGTCAGCTGAACAATTACTTGTCTCACAGGCACTTCCATCTGAAAGAGTAATGGTTATGTTCACACAACTAGATCAAGTGAGGATTGCTTGTCCACAAAGAGATACGAGTAGTGTGTTTATATTTATATTACAATGCTTCAGTTTGTCACAGGGAAGTTCCAATCCAAGTGACTTCAGGGTCTAAATCTGGCCTCCTCTACTACTACAGCTCCTCAAAGACAAGGATCCCTAAAGAGGTCAAGGCATTCACAGAGGCTACTCGGAATGGGAACTTCTAGGAGCAGAGATCTAAAAGAAATTGTTGTATGCATTTCACCCTTACCTTACCCCTGTTGCACTGGTTACTCTTGATCATTTCGTGTGAAGGCACGCTTTAAAAAGAAAATATAAACACAAATAATCATGAGAAAAACAGAAATGTAAGCACAACAAAAAATAAGTCATGAACCTGGTAGTAAGCATTCAGTGTAGTTAATTAATATATTGCTGGTCAACAGAGAATAATAATGACATCAGTGATCAATGGTCTGTGGCACCATCAAGTATTCTGCACTGTTCTTTACTTGCTGACAATATTTTTAGGCTGTAGCATAGCTGCTTCTGTCCTCTAATCATCATTCTCTTCAGTGCTCGGATCCAATGTGCATGGTGCATAGCTGGACAATTCCTATATGAAATATATACTGGTATGCATCCATGTCTTCATATTCCATGATGCAATGCAGATTTAAGAAAAAATAATGTGGCTTTGCCCAATGTAAAGGGTTTCTAAACCCTCCATTTTTTTGCCTATATCTATTGCTAGCAAGCAGTAGATATAGGCAAAAAGTTAAAAAAAAAACAAAAACAAAAAAACGCTTTAACAGTGGTTTAAACTTACCCTGTTTTCGCCGCACACTTCCGTCCGAGAATCCGAAACTGCTTGGGCGGCCGCAAAGCATCCTGGGGCGGGTGCATGCGCAGTTTGGATTTTTGGCCGGGAGACAAGCAGAGACGCAAGGTAAGTCTATGGACGCGTGCACCGCTATGCAGACACCACTGGATCGAAGTGCCTGCAAGCAGAGAGGAGTCAGCGCTGGATCCGAGAGCCGCAGCACCACTGGAGGGACAGATGAAAACAATAGGAAAGAAGAGGAAGATCGGATTAAGAGACATCATTTAAGGTAAGTGCTGACATTAACATTGGGGGGGAGGGAAAACATTTTTTGACTTTAATGTCACTTTAAGGGCAGTGGAGATATTTAAAAGGCTTAGTCCACCTTTTGAAAAAATAGCAGCATTGATCAAACGATCAATGTGCATTTACAGTTGTGCCGCACAATGTTTTAATGTTTTCCCCCAGCCTTAGGTACATACAGAGGTAACTTGCTGTTATGGGGTTGGAGGAAGTGCGGATGGTCTACAAATTGTTGTGACGTGTTCAGGAGGGAGGGAAAATTACCAGCGCACTCTGCATGGTACTTCTGCTACACCAGCAGATGGGACAGGTAAGAATCAACTGCAAACGATTCCAGATTTGGATGATGTGGCTATGCGGAAATATGTCTGCGAAGGTTCTCATTCATCCAGGCCATGGTATATCTGTAAAGAATATACCAGATACAGATGTGCGGAAAGAGCTTTGCAGTGCTGCACTAAATGAATCTGAGTACACATTTCTGCCAGAACAAGCACCCCACAATGCAAGTAAGGGGGGTTAATTTGGTTGTTGGGGATGGAGTATGTAACCATTATACTGCTACACCTTAAATATGGGTATAACAGCCTTTAAAAGACCTGTGATAACATGTGAAAAAGAGGCAAGAGATCCACCTGCTAGCTGCTTATGAATATATAAAAAAATTGTCTTATGTAATGGCAATATTTGATATTTACAACACTATAAAATTAAAGAAATGTATGTTTTTAGTTCTGACCTAAATAAAGACAAATGTATACAAATTAATAGAATATTCTAAATTATGCACGATTCATCATTCACTGTTCATTTTTTTCCCCCAAGCAAATAAATGTAAAAATATAATAATATACACACATTTACCAGCTGCCAGTTCTAAGCATGGCTTGCCATAATCTGGCCATTTCTATGTTCTTAGGATAAAATAAGTGCCTCCAGCAATTGGAGGTTCTCTTATTCTGGCTACAATCTGGCCATTTTTGGCCAACTTGAACAGTTATTTAAACTTTTACAAATAATTTCTGTTAAAAAAAAATTACCTTAATTAACCGATTGTGGTTATTTATATAGCACTGACAAATTTCACGCAGCACTTTACACAGTGCACATTCACATCAGTCCCTGCCCTTAATAAGCTTACAATCTAAGGTCCCTATCTCACATGCATATATAAGGGCCAGTTTTAGGGCCCATTCACACCACATTCAGATTACCTCCAGACAGGATCAGACTGTTTCCGGACCCAAAATGCATCTCAAATCCCTATGGTATTTCTGGCCTCTGTTCCCCCCACCGCAGTCCGTTCCAGACCAGACCAGAAAAATACTGCTAGTCCTATTTTGTCCGGTCTGGAATGCACTGGAACGCATCAAAACAGCATCAAAAACGCATGCAACACCCTGAAAAGACCATTTTAAGCTAAAAATAAAAAAAAATCCAATCACGGCAGAATCGTGGTAAAAACGCAATACACTATGTTCCTGATCTGGTCCAGATCTGGCCCGGAAAATGGTGTGAACCCAGCCTTAGACCCCATTCACACTGAGCGACATGCAAATCGCGCGACATTGAGCGACGAGATGTGAACAGCTACATTGAAATGTATTGGTGAAGCTACATAGAGCGATATAGTGCGGAAATATGAGCGATATCGCTACAAAAATCGCGCGATAAATCGCTCAATGGGAACGGGGCCTTAGACCCCATTCACACTGAGCGACATGCAAATCGCGCGACATTGAGCGACGAGATGTGAACAGCTACATTGAAATGTATTGGTGAAGCTACATAGAGCGATATAGTGCGGAAATATGAGCGATATCGCTACAAAAATCGCGCGATAAATCGCTCAATGGGAACGGGGCCTTAGACCCCATTCACACTGAGCGACATGCAAATCGCGCGACATTGAGCGACGAGATGTGAACAGCTACATTGAAATGTATTGGTGAAGCTACATAGAGCGATATAGTGCGGAAATATGAGCGATATCGCTACAAAAATCGCGCGATAAATCGCTCAATGGGAACGGGGCCTTAGACTGGAGCCAATTAACCTACCAGCATGTCTTTGGAGTGTGGGAGGAAACCGGAGAACCCGGAGGAAACCCACACAAGCACAGGGAGAACAGGGAAAACGCCTTGTAGATAGTGACCTGGCCGGGATTCGAACCAGAGACCCCCAGTGCTACAAAGCAGAAGCGCTAACCACACAGTAGCTAGAAGCTCTTTTGAATAATAGCTCCTAAAAAACAGTCGAAGGAGTTAAAATCTTCTTATTTTTAAGCAATCGAAGGTATTTTGATTGACATGTGCATGCTTTAAATAAAGCACTAATTATTCAACTACTGTCAGGTTCATCAGAAAAATCAATTACTTTTAAAGTGATTTATGTGGAACTGTGAACTGTGCTAGAAAGTTCACTTTGAAGACGACACTGCAGATAGAAAGGAAAAATATGAGAGTGAAGCTTTTAATGTCAACCTCTTACAGATATCATTTTTCATAGTGGAAAGATCAGTGGTAACATTCTCCATGTTTTTTTTCCCCCTTTAAATCATTTGAATAATAGCTTCCGAACCATATTATTTTTTAAATGTCTCATGTTGGTTTGTTAATACTCATGTGTAGCACTGTGGGCATTCCCTGAAACGTAACATGCAACCAAACTACATAAGTTTCATTCTTTATGCCCTTTTGTCATTTTAGGAAAAATATGTGAAGCCAAAATCACCTCATGAAATGACTGTCTATAAGTCACAGTCACACCCCACCAACCCCCTGAATGGAGAAGACAGCTTCCGCCAATTGCAGGAAAACTCAGGAATATTGAGCAGACCATCAGAGTAATGTCTGGGATTCTTACACAAGGCTCTTGTGTAAAGAGCAAATAGGTATTTAAGTAGCTAGAAAAGGAAACGATAATGCTTTTTAGTGGGTAAACATTTTATATCTTACAGTTATTTCTATAGCGCCAACAAATTACGCAGCGCTTTACATAGTTTCACATTCACATCAGTCCCAGCCCTCAAGGAGCTTACAATCTAAGGTTATTCTTGTAATAAATACCTGGAAGTAAGTATAAATGACAAAATTGTAAAGCTTTTGGATTTCACACCATTGCATCTGGAACTGGGCTGTTAGCATTCGACGGTGACAGGGTAAATCCAACAGGGAATTATATTTCAATGGGTTCATTTTTAGGATCAGTCCAAGGTTAGGATGAGGTTAAACTGCCTACACGCTTCCCGCAGCTCTGGATACATCAACAACTGGCATTTAATGCTGTACGGAGCAACACGCCAGTGTGCATGAGGCCTTAGCCTTTAAGGTTAAGAGGAGAGTAAAGAAGCCCTGTCAGGAAAAAGTTGCTGTAAAAGGCAGGAAAGTATTTATCTTTTTTCAGTGGCTGCGCTGCCAAACAACACTCGGTTCATGAGTTCTTCTTCTTTAAAAGGAGAACTATGGGGTTAAGGCTTTTCCCCATAGTTCTCCTTAGGGTAACGGGAGGACACAAACTAGCGTCCTCCCGTCACCCTAAGCTCAGTATACCTCGAGCTGTAGCTCGAGGTATACTGAGATGCCGCAGCTGAAGCGGATACCGACAATTATGCCGGGTTCCGCCCAGCTGCGTGACTGACAGCTGGCTCTGCCTATCTAGAGGCAGAGCCAGCTGTACCCGCCCCCTCCCCCGTCCGTTCCGCCAGTCAGCGCTGGCGGATCGGAGCGGGGAGGGGGGAATCCAGCCTCTCCCCTGTCACGGCAGAGAGCCGTGACAGGATCGAGAGGTAAGTGAACGCCGGTATGTGTTCGCTCACCTCCCGATCTACTGAGCCGACCTGTGACAGTCTCATTGTTACAG